CTAAAACAGAATATATATGTTTATACATAGAAAGTTTGTGCCATGATTTAAATGTAGAAGATGTTTTAGAAAGCATTTCCAGAGTGCAGGAATGTATGTATCTTTATACAAAGCAAATTCAATCAGCAGAGAAAAATGGGAATTTTTTTTTTAATCCTAGGTCAAAGTATTTTGCCTTGTGAGTGGGAAAAGGAATAAATTGTGTTTCTTTTAGACCTCTGCACGGATGGCTCTGTTATAATGAATGCCTGGGTTGTCTTGTGTGCCGCTTCTTGAAGAGGTGTTAGGAATCAGACACCTCGCATGAAATCTCCATTCTCAGTGAGCACCATCCCCGTCTCTTTGACAATGCAGAGTGACTGCTTGAAGTCACAGTTTCTGGCACAGTCAGGAAGCCCGCATATGCATTGGCTTCTGGCTGAGGTGAAGGCATTAGAAGTTTGTTGGGGGGGGGGGTGTGGGGGTGATGTTGTTGCTGTCCAGAAAGGTGGATGGGCTGGGACGGGTGAGAGAGGCCCCTGGGCCTGTCTGCGGCAGCGTCTTCTGAAATTGTGTATCATGGGGAAACGAAGAGCGTGCCCATGGTTGTAAAACTTGGCTAGGGAAACGGTAACATGCACGGCATTTGTGAATGTGTGCACGCAGACATTATGGGATGACACAGGAGTATCGACAACTATAAGCAAGCACACAGATTCAGACAGCACGTGTGGATATGTATATCAACAGAGCTATACACGCACACAGGTCATACAGACAAATGCATAAATGCTACAGATCCTTATTCACAGACACATACTTGGAGACAACTTGACATACGGTCTCTAGGGCTTAACAGCCACCAGCAATGTGGTCACGCCCAGAAATGCACACACATACACAGTCAGGAAAGCACACCACAGAACCATCAATTAAACACAGCAACACACACACAGGTATTTGTGGTTGTGAAGTGCTTTCCAGTACCCCACAACTTGTAGTGATCCTGTGAATAGCACCCCTGACCCCCGTCCTATCCTGAGCCATCACTTTAACACTCGAGCCCAGTGCTGCAGTCAGTGCTCTCAATCCAGCTCAACAGGGGTCTTCCTCTCTTTTGCTGACCCCCACCACCACCCTTCAGCAGAAGACAGGTAGCCACCGAGTTCCTAGAATAAGACGGATGAGTGAGCAAGACGGGTTATCTGCGTCTGAAACCACAGGCCTTTGAAAAGTCCAGTAGCCACAGAGAGAGGCAGGTAGTTGTAGTATGAGAGGGTAGAGCTCAGATGGGAAGTCACACACAGAGATGGTGGTGGTGGTGGTGGTGGTGGTGGTGGTGGTGGTGGTAGTTATGTGCCGTCAAGTCACCTGCGACTCATAGCGATCCTATGTACTATAGCTCTGAACCCTGCTCTTTCCTGTGCCAACCTTATTGTCTCTGGCACATCTATGACCCCAGACTCCTCCAGGGTCTTCCCCTCCTGCGCTGACCCTCCACCCTCCCAAGCATAATGCACACACAGATAGAGAGTCATAAATACAGACACACACATACATCCAAAACCACAGACCTATATGCACACAGACACACACACAGAGCCATAAACACATAACCACACAAACACATCCATAAACGCACACACACACAGATGTTGTTGTTGTTGTTGAGTACCTTTGAGTTAGAACTGACCTATAACTGACCCTCCAGTGGGTTTTCAGAGGCACTTAATCGCGCAGGAGGAGACTGCCCCTCCTTTTACAGAACAGATGGTGGGTTTGAACTGCGTGGCTTTGGGAGTACAGCACAGCTTCCTAACCTCTAGGCCACCAGAGCTCAGCCATCACTATACACATACAAGTGCTTAAATACCCAGCCAGGAACACATATTCATTCAAAGACACAGCTGTAAGCAGTTACATTTGCACACATACACACAGAGATAGATAGATAGATAGATAGATAGATAGATAGATAGATAGATAGATAGATAGAACAGGTAGATAGATGATAGATAGACAGACAGACAGAGACAGAGGGAGGGAGGGAGGGAGGGACCGAAGGAGAGACTGAGGGAGGTAGACAGACCGACACACAGACACAGAGCTATAAACAACAAACCCAAATACACAGGCACATTCAGCTATGAACAGACATAAACACAATATACATGAGCTTTCCCTTCAAACATCTGTCTTCTTCTCCTTGTTGTTTTGCCTTCCCCCCACCCCAAGAAAATGAAGCTCTATTTGCAGACAGGAATGCTCCTTTGAAACAGGAGCCCCTCAGGAAATCTTCTGATGCTGTCTCCCGCTATCTACATGTTTACAAGTCTTAGTGAAACAGCAGTTAAGCATTGAGCTTCTGAAACAAAATGTAGGAGATAAATGGGGAATTCTGCTCCGGTGAAGGTATCAGCCACAGAAACCTTATGGATGGGACAGTTCTAATCTGCCACCACGAGTTGCCATCAAGTAGAGAACATGCAACCATAAAGCCTTCACGTTTGTAGGTGAAGTGTGCCTTATTATCTCCAAGCCACCTGACATCTCCATCAATGGGAACCTTCCATCATTCAACCCACAGGATCCACCGTCACTGTGGGTAGATGCCATCAAAGCAAATGCAACTCAATGAAAGAACCCATGTGGGATCCCACCCCAAGACCGTGGTCCCTGTTCTGTCTCAGTTCACCATTTACAGCCACTGTGTCAAGCCATCTCTTGGAGGGTCTGCCTTTTTTTTTCCTCTAAATCAGCATGTAGCTAACTCAGCCCATAAACAACAGAACAAAATCCTCCTAATCCAGTACTCCTCACCTAATCCCCACTGGCCTTAAACCCGCTGTCACTGTCACTATGTCAGTCCATCTCATTGAGAGGTCTCCATTTTTTTTTTATTTTTATAAAATACTTGTTTAACTTTTATTTTGTTTTGTTTTTCTATAATTATATTTTATTAATTTTCATAAAGATTTACAGAGATTTTGGGCTTCCACTCATTCATTGTTGCACTATTCTCTCTACCCTCCTCCCAGTTTGTTCTTGTCCAATTGCTGCAGTACTTGTCAAAGCCAGTTCTGATTAATCTCCTTTGTCAGTGTGTCCTTTGCCATTCCCTATCACTCCTCCCTGAGAGAGACTTCACCCTGAGTCATAAGGAAAAGGGGATGGCGTATTCTCTTAGCTACTTCCTGCTGAAAAGGGACACTGTGGGTTTCAGGGTGAAGATCTTCTCTCACTACTCTAAAGGGCCCCTTTGGCAGTAGGAAACACATAGACTATTATGGAGATTGATTTTGGAATTCAGATGCACTCTTATTGATTGTGCTTGGCTGTACATGTACATATCCTTCAAGATGTGTCATGGGGGTGTTGCAACCTAGAAGACACAAATTGGACTAACAAGTTATAAGTACATGAGTCCAAAAATTATGGAAAAGTAAAAGAAAAGATTCTTTCATTGTTTTACAAACACTCCCCCAGGTCCCCTCCACCATGCAGCCCTCGCTCTAGTCTCCTGTGATGACAGAAATACCCAGTTACATCTCTCTTTTAAACGGTTCTCTCCCTCCTCTGTTTCAGTGCAGTATACATTATTGAACCCATCTTACTCAGTCTCTCCCCAACCCCAAGGACAGTCCCATTCTACAACAGTGGCATCATGTAATATTTGTCCTTTTGTGACTGGGATATTTCACTCAGCATAATGTTCTCCAGAGTCAACCATTTTGAATTTTCGCACAATGGAATACTATGCTGCATTAAAAAACAAGGAACTCATGCAATATTATTCAAAAAAGAGAGGTCTCCATTTTCGTCACTGACCCTCAACTTTTCCAAGATTGATGTCACTGGGTCAGTCCTTCTCATGAAGGACCATCCTCTTCGACAATGACTCTCAAGTCTTCCAAGATTGACATCTCTGTGTCCAGCCATCTCATAGAGGGTTTCCATCTTCCTTCTTGACTGTCAACTTGTTCAAGATTGATGTCACTGTGTTAATCCAGCTCATGGAGGTCTTCCTCTCCTTCATTAACCCTCACTGTGTCAACCCATCTCATTGAGGGTCTCCATCTCTTTGAGGGACCCTCTGCTTTTCCAAGATTGATGTCATTTTGTCAATGAGGATCTTCCTCTTCATTGACCTTCAGCGTTTCCAAGATTGACGTCACGGGTCAACCCATCTCATGGAGAATCTTCCTCTTTGACAATGACCCTCAACTCTTCCAAGACTGACATCTCTGTGTCCAGCCATCCCATGGAGGGTTTCTGACTTCTTCCTTGACTGTCAGCTTGTCCAAGATTGACCTCACTGTGTTAACCCAGCTCACGATGATCTTCTTCTCTCCTTCATTGACCCTCATTGTGTCAACCCATCTCATTGAGGGTCTCCATCTCTTTGAGTGACCCTCCGCGTTCCCAAGATTGACATCACTGGGTCTGTCCATCTCATGGAAGATCTTCACCTTCTTTGTTGACCCTCAACATTTCCAAGATTGACGTCACTGGGTTAATCCATCTCGTAGAAAATCTTCCTCATTGACAGTGACCCTCAACTCTTCCAAGATTGACATCTCTGTGTCAAGCCACCTCATGGAGGGTTTCCATCTTCCTTCTTGACTATCACCTTGTTCAAGATTGACGTCACTGTGTCAGTCCATCTCATCTAGGGTCTTCCTCTCCATCACTAACCTTCTCCTTTTCCTAGCATGATGTCCCTCTCTGGGGACTAGACTCTCCTGGTCACATGCCCAAAGTATGGAAGACACAGCTTGACTCTCTTCACCTCCAAGGAACAGAGTGGTTGCACTTGTAAAGTTTACCAATAAAAGTCATACCATTAGGAAATTATTTGTGTCATGGAACTCTGTAAGCCATAACAGTGTTTCTCTAACTCCACTTCTGGTTTTGAAGAGGGAAGTACAAACACAGTCAGTGGGAGGTGTTCATGGTTGCGGTGGTGGTTATTGTTTGTTTTTTCACAATAGTGACTCTCAATGCACTGTATTCTTCCATAGGATTTTTAAGTACGGGTGACCAGGCAGCCAAGGGCAACTATGGGCTGCTGGACCAGATTCAAGCCTTGCGGTGGATCGAGGAGAACATTGGGGCCTTCGGCGGGGACCCCAAGCGAGTGACCATCTTTGGCTCAGGGGCTGGAGCATCCTGTGTCAGCCTGTTGACCCTGTCGCACTATTCAGAAGGTAAGGACCACGTCGCCGTGGGTGGATGGGTTGGCGAGACACACTACAGATTCTCCAGTAAGTGCACAGCACACCTCTGGTGTTTTTTTTCTTTCTTTCTTTCTTGAGGGCTTGCCATATCCATATGAACAGATAGGGCACAGTTTATAGGCTGAGAGATGAGTGGTATATGGAGCCCGTAACTTCTTCCCTCAGCCATTGGGCATAGACGCTCCAGGGATGAGGCGGGAAGCATCAGTGAAACAGAATGCAGAGAGTCAAAGTTTCTTGTTGCACTAAAAACAGAGAGGCTTCCTGGGAACTCTGGTGGCTAAGTGGTAAGGAGCCAACTTGTGAAGCCAGAGGTATGCGGTTCAGATCCATGAGCTGCTCCGAGGAGAAAGGTGTTCTGATCCACTTATGGCCTCTAGAAACCCACGGTGAGGGTCAGCTGTGAGTCCTTTCTGACCAACAAAGAGGAAAGCTTCCAGTTTTAGGAAGTAGGTCTACCCAAAGGCATACGGTTCAAATCCACCAGCTGCTCTGTGGGATAAACAGGGGCAAATCTCCGAAGTGATTTGGTGGTGGGGGTGGGCACCATCGAGTCAGAACCGACCAGAGCCGACCTTCCAGTGGGTTTTCAGAGACAGACAGTTCATCACATGGGAGGAGATTACCCATTCTTTTCCCATGGAGCAGGTGGGGGATTCAAACTGTGTACCTTCAGGGTTTCAGGGCAATTTATAACCTCTGTAAACCTGCCAGAGGATCCTCCTTAATAACAGTGAGTTTGGGGTTTATTTTTATGTTTATATTTGTACCCTCGATCTTAAGAAATGCTAATAAGCAAGTTCAGCCCTTTTGATTTTCTAACTTCAGCTCTTTGCATATTGTGTTGGGAAAGTCAGTTGTCAGAGACCTCTCTAAAATACTGAAGAATAATGATGTCAGTCTGGAGACTAAAATGCACCTTGATCCAGGCCATGGTCTTTGCAATTACTTGCTGGACAATGACTAGGGATAATAAAAGGAGAATTGATGCCTTTGAGCTGTGGTATTGGAGAAAAGTATTGAATATACCATGGCCTGCTAGGAGAACAAACAGGTAGGTTCATCCTGGAGAAGGTTAAACCAGGCTGCTCCTTGGAGGCAAGGATTCTGAAGCTTTGTCTGACATACTTTGGACATATTGCAAGGTGGGACCAGTTCTTAGAGAGGGATGTCACGCTTTGGACGGTGGAGGGACATCACAGGAGGGGAAGACCCTGGATGAAATAGATTGACTTAGTGACTGGGGTAATGGGGGTGGGTGTGTCGGAGACAGTGAGATTGGCACAGGATAGAGCAGGATTTAGGCCTCTTGTACATAGGGTCGCTATGAGTCGCAGGCAACTCGACAGTACATAACAACAACCATCACTCACTTTTTGTTTTACAAAAAATATTTTTATATTATTATCTTAGTTTGCATACAGAATTTGTATACATTGTGTTTCGCTTAAATGTGTTATGTTTTACACATTCCTGTATTCATGTTGTTTCATACAATCATTCCGAGACATGCTGTTTTACACAATAAATATGCTTTTTCGGGTCTCCATTAGATCTTTACTGTTTCCTTCACCCCTCTGTCTGTTTTTCTGTCCACCAAACTGCAACCCCCTTTTCCACACTCAGCCTTCCTGCCCCCATCTCCTGCATCCTTTGGACTTATAAAAGTATAAACACATCTTCCTAGCTGTCCTTCTGTTTTTGTTTTGTTTTACTTATTCTGTGCCATCAAATCAGATCCACCTAGCACAGGAGATTGCCTCTTCTCCTGCAGAGCATCTGGTGGATTTGAACCACGCATCTTTGGGACTGCAGTGCAGCTTCTTGCCACTAGGCCACCAGAGCTTTCTTGTCCTTCTGTTTTGACATGAATGCTCTTAGGCAGCATTTGCTCTTATATGATCATCATTCACAGGGAGTTCTGGTGGCCTAGTGGCAAGAAGCTGCACTGCAGTCCCAGAGGTATGCTGTTCGAATCCACCAGATGCTCTGCTGAAGGACGGGCAATCTCCTCCTGTAATAGTCAGATCAGATTTGATGGTACATGCACTAAAAAAAAATAATAACATTTTTTTAAAAAGATCATCATTCACTTTTACATAATCACTTATATACATTGTTTCAACATTTCTATCCATTGTGGTGTGTTTTTTTTCCCTTGGTGGTTATTGTCTAATAAAATTTATTTGAATTGTGATTTTCACAGAAGTGTACAGGAAAGTTGGATTTTGCTATGCTCGTTGTTGCACCTGATCCATTGTATTTTCTGCCCCTTGTTACTCCTGCCTCCCTGTCTCTGTTGCACCATTCCTATCTGTTCACCCACCTCGTGTATCCCCTGCACATCCTAATCATTTCCTCTTCTTTGGGTGGTGATTTTATTAATGCACGGTCATTGCCAAACTTGTTTCTAACTTTTCCACTCAGTCAGCATCAGTCCCCCAATGACCCACCGTCCAGCCTCTTCAGAGCTTCTCATTTGCAGACAGTGACACACCATAGCACAGAGAATGCCAGGCTCTTGAGTGGATAGATTCCTGATGGGAGAAACTTACGGAGGGAAAAGGACCCCTCATGTGGGCAGTTTGGGAAGCGCATTAATGCCAGGCATGAGTTTCCTTGTGAAATGCTGCTATCATTTTTTTTTTGGGGGGGGGGGTTGAGGATATGAATAGAGCCATGAATGGACACACTCTGAAATTCATTTCAGTGGATAATTCTTTTCCCCCTAATTAAGGGATAATCTGATTTCTCCTCAGAGCCATGCGGGTCTTGGACTTGGCCTCGGTGAAAAGTAGGAGGGGTTCTTAATCCCATGGGGTTTGTGATTTTCTCCAAGGGCCTTCAGTTGTAAAACTTCAGAAAGCTAAGAAGCCAGTTATTCACAGTTATAGAAGGAGAGACAGAATGCTAATTTTTTTTTTAAATCTCTCGCTAAATAATAGCATTGCTTTGGCATCAAATAGCTAATAGGATTTGAAGATCTCATTCTTTTTAAAAAGGCCCTTGATTCTTAGAGACATTTTAGGGTTTAATTCCTTTCGATTGTCTCTATTTGTAACACTTTTTTTAATATCTCATAATAAAGCTTAATGATCTGATTGTATGTCTTTTTTTTGCCTTTTTAAAATTTATTTATTTATTTTTCATTTCAATGAACATCTACAGAGATTTTAGAATTCCATTCATTCATTGTTGCACCCCTCTCCCCGCCCACCCCACCTCCACCCCTTTTTTAAGAGCAATTTTCCTTTTTTTTTTTAACAAAAAAGTATAGAAAGTAAATAAAAACCAAATGCAACCCAGTGTCAGTTGACTGGCTCCTGGCAAACTTCTCTTGGGATTTTGTGATATGTAATGGACACAGATTACCTCACCTTTTCTCCCTCAAGGGGTCGGGTGGGGGGTTTGAACTACCAACTTGTGGGTTCACAATCCCAGCACAACACCTCTTGCAGAACGAAATTTCCTCTCTCTAACCTCGCTGTCTCTAGCAGTCTCTAGCAGTATTAGCGGCCTGCTTTCCTGTGTTATGGTTGTGACAGTCAATGAATCAGTAAGGATACATTGAGACAATGAGACATTGTTGCTAACAGAAGCCTTGAGTTGACAGGCGGGTTCTTGCCTTGCTTTATTGTATCCTGCGAGTTTCCACAAGGGCTTCAAGGAACATGACCGTCTTGACTATATCCTCTCCACCCCAAATAACTCCCCTTATTAATTGTTAGGTGTCATTGGATTAATTCCAACTCCTATTGACCTCCTGAACAACAGAAGGAAATGTGCCCGGCCCTGCCTCATCCTTGCAAAATCTCTGTGAACCTTAAGCCCATTGCTGCAGGCCCTGTGTCAAAACGTCTCATTGAGGCCCTTCCTCTTTTCAACTGACCCCCTCTACTTGACCAGAATTTCCTCTGAGCACTAGCTGTGTCATTCCCCACCCCCTCCCCACTGCCTCCTCTCCATCCACCCCCTGACTCCTAGCAACCACAGATCTTTTCCTTTTTTTTTTCTAGAATTCCCCTCTTTTTCCAGAATCCCCATCATCTGTGAAAAGCTTGCATGTTTTTAACTCCTGAGAGGAGCGGGTAGGGGGGCAGGAAACTCAGCTATTTTTCCTCCTTCAGCTCTGTTTTGTGTGTGTATGCATGCATGCGTGTAAAACTCATTCTCCAAAACTCCGACCCAGCAGGGATGGGGAAGGGGAGGGGACGGGCGGGGTGGGGTGGTCAGGAGGGAGCTCACTGAAAGAGCTGAATGTTCTTCTTCCCGAGTTCACATGGCGGGGATACAATGCAGGCATTCTCCCCGTGCAGTAAAAGCTGCTTTCTTGCACTCGGGGGCGGGGAGTGTGCTCATTGGCATGCATCCTCAGAGTCTGGTCTTGCATGCACGCCTGTGCTGTGCTCTCTTGGGTAGGGGTGTGCGGAGGGGATGTGGCTTGGCACGCATGATGCCCAGGGTATTCATGGCCTGTCCGTCTTCTTGCACCTGCAGGCCTCTTCCAGAAAGCCATCATCCAGAGCGGCACCGCCCTGTCGAGCTGGGCCGTCAACTACCAGCCGGCCAAGTACACCCGGATCCTGGCGGACAAAGTGGGCTGCAACATGCTGGACACCACGGACCTGGTGGAGTGTCTGCGCAACAAAAACCACAAAGAGCTCATCCAGCAGTCCATCGCCCCGGCCACCTACCACATCGCCTTCGGGCCGGTCATCGACGGCGACGTCATCCCCGATGACCCCCAGATCCTCATGGAGCAGGGCGAGTTCCTCAACTACGACATCATGCTGGGCGTCAACCAGGGCGAGGGCCTCAAGTTCGTGGACGGCATCGTGGACAACGAGGACGGCGTGACGCCCAACGACTTTGACTTCTCCGTGTCCAACTTCGTGGACAACCTGTACGGCTACCCCGAGGGCAAGGACACGCTGCGCGAGACCATCAAGTTCATGTACACGGACTGGGCCGACAAGGAGAACCCGGAGACGCGCCGCAAGACGCTGGTGGCCCTCTTCACCGACCACCAGTGGGTCGCCCCAGCCGTGGCCACCGCCGACCTGCACGCGCAGTACGGCTCGCCCACCTACTTCTACGCCTTCTACCACCACTGCCAGAGCGAGATGAAGCCCAGCTGGGCCGACTCGGCACACGGGGACGAGGTGCCCTACGTCTTTGGCATCCCCATGATCGGCCCCACCGAGCTCTTCAGCTGCAACTTCTCCAAGAATGACGTGATGCTCAGCGCCGTGGTCATGACCTATTGGACCAACTTCGCCAAGACCGGGTAGGTTTCCCCTCCTCCTCTATACCGTCACCTCCTCCTCCACGGTGCCAGGCTCTGAATAGGGGGCCATCTCCTCCAGACCACAAGGGGGTGGCTTTCACAAACAGAACACATCTTTTTTTCCTGCACAGCTTCAGAGTCGGCCTGCAGGGCACTGGCTCCAGGAGACGTCTTGCTCTCTGTGCAAGCTCATTTCAACTTTCATTCCTGCACAGTCTTCATCAAGCATTTGTCCTTTTCCATTCCTGTTTGCTTCTGCGCTTCACCTAGGCCCTTTTGAGCTTAAAAAAAACAATTATGGTTCAGACAGGTTCTGCCAGAGTAGTGTCCTATTAACGTCCCAGAGAAAACTCTTCCCTATATTCCCTCACTCATAAAAAAAACAGGGTTACAGCTATGGGTAGAAACAAAATGAGCACATAGCCACTAAGGAGATTGGGGTTCCCAGAGTCCCTCCTAACACAGGGCATCCTTGTTGAGTCAAGGCTGTCCCACAGGCTGTCCGAGGTGGCCCGTCTTTAACGAACAACGCTGCTGCAACTTTCTCCTTCCAGTCGACTTGCAAAACTTGTAACTGCCAACATTTTGGTTAGCGCTCACATTTAACCACTGTGCCTTCTTGGCTCATTGCATCCCCGGATCTAGGGATTAGGATGATAGTACAGATTTGGGGGGGGACACAGTTGCATGTGTCCTCACCAGATCTTCCCTCTCTTGCCGAGTCCTTGATATCATTGTTATTTTTTTTTCTTCTGTGATTGCGTGAGTTGTGCCTCAAAGTGAGGGGTTCGAATCCACCCGTGTCTCCTCAAAGACAGATGGGCAGTCTCCTCCAGTGTGATTTACAGCCTCTGAAAACTCCCTGGAGGGCCATCTGAGAACAGATTCCGACTTATTGACACAGGACAACAATAGTATGATTGGATGAACGATTGTTTTACTCTCAGTTGGAGACACACACGTTGTTGTTACCACAGCTGCACAGAGTCCAACTGATGAATGAGAGATCTCAACCCCACCCTATCCTGTGCCGTCCTTTATATCTCTGACATCTTTGAGCTCCATTGTGGCAGTCACTGGGTTTATCTACTTCTCTGGGGATCTTCACCTCTTTCCTTGACCTTCCAACTTCCCCAGTATCATATCCTTCTCCAAGGAATAGCCTCGCCTAGCAACATGTCCCAAGTATATGAGACAAAGCTTTATCGTCTTTGCCTCCAAGGAATACCCTGGTTGCACTTTTTCCAGGACCCGTCTGTTTTGTTCATTTGGTCGCCTGTAGGATATTCATGACTCATCTCAAAGGCTCTCATTCTTCTACCATCCTTAGTCCTTATCCCACTTTCAGATGCATAGCAACAGATTGCAGTGACTGTGGTTTGTATCAGGGGTGAACAGGTACGCACAAGAGCAATCCTTTCTCTCCTGGGATACACAACATTACAACGTCCAAGTATTACAAGCTTTAATCACTCAGCTGATTACTGAACCCAGCAGTGGCTCAGTGGAAGATTAAAACGTGGCAGGCAGCTCCTATAATAATTGCAGCTCAGAAATATCATAAGACAAGCCCCCTTTGCTGTGTGTCATGCTTGTAAGAGAGAATGATGGACGTGATAGCACCCAACAGCAAGATGGGATCCCGGGTGGTTAAAAAGGTCAACATTTGGGTGCTCACAGAAACATCAGTGATTTGAATCCACCTAGCATATTGGTGAGTGGCTGAGTACAGAAAGTGTTGCACTTTTTAACCCAAAAGCAGGAGGTTCAAATCTATCAGCTGTTCCAGGGGAGAAAAAATAAGCAATCTCCTCTCCTGCTAATTATGTTGTTGTTGTTGTTGTTATGTGCTGTCGAGTCGTTTGTGACTCATAGTGACCCTGTGTACAACAGCCCTAAACCCTGCTCTGTCCAGTGCCAGTCTCATTGCCTCTGACACACCCATCCCGATTACCCCAGTCACGGAATCAATCCACCTCATAGAGGGTCTTCACCTCCTGAGCTGTCCTTCCACTCTGCCCAGCATGATGCCCCTCTCCAAAGACCTGTCTCTCCTTACAACATGTCCAAAGTATGTCAGACAAAGCCCCAGAATCCTTGCCTCCAAGGAGTAGCCTGGTTTAACCCTCTCTAGGGTGAATCTGTTTGTTTTCTTGGCAGTCCATGGTACATTCAATACTCTTCTCCAGCACCACAGCTCAAAGGCATCAATTCTCCTTCTATCCTCCCTAGTCACTGTCCAACTCTCTGATGCATAACAAGTGATTGCAAAGACCATAGCCTGTATCAGGTGCACCATAGTCTCCAGAGAGACACCGTTGCTCTTGAGTACTTTAGAGAGGTCCCTAACAGCAGACTTTCCCATCACAATAAGTTTTTTTATTTCCTGGCTGCTGGTGCCAAGAATGTAGACCATGGAGTCAAGCAAACTGAAGCTGTGAACAATCTCCATCTCTTCACCATTCATCCTGATGCTACCAATTGGTCCAGTGGTGAGAATCTTTGTCTTCTTGACATTGATTCTCAGTCCATACTGAAGGCTACAGTCCTTGACCCTCTGCAGTAAGTGCATGAGGTCCTCCACAGTTTCAGCGAGCAAGGTTGTGTCATCTGCATAACGCATGCTAATTATAGCCTCTGAAAATCTGCAGGAGAGTCAGCAGTGGGTCAGCTCCACCTCAACAGGAATGAATTTTTCACGTGTTTATTGAGCTGCTAACCGGAAGGTCGCCTCCACCAGAGAAAGAGATCCTCTTGTAAACGTTTTGGCCTCAGCAAGCTGATGGAGGGTTAAGGTGTGTTAGACTCGATTTGCTGGCAATTTTTGTGAGGTACTGTCCAAGACAACTACAACTTTTAGCAACCCTTTGAACAGTGGATCTGAACCTTGCTGTATCCTTACACCACCCTTATCATCTGTGCCGTATTCTCAAGCCAATTGTAACCATCTCTGTGTCAATCCATTGCATTGAGGATCTTCCTCTCTTTTGCTGGCCTTCTACCTTTCCAAGTAGGGCACCCTTTTCCAAAGACTGCTGGCAGAAGATGAATGGATGGATCAATGGGTGGGTGGATGGATGGATGGAGATATAGATGTACATTTATCTATATATCGATATCTATGGATGGCGAAGAGATTGAGATTGTTCACAGCTTGAGTTTGCTCGGCTCCACAGTCAACACTCTTGGCACCAGTAGCCAGGAAATCAAAAAACTTATTGTGATGGGAAAGTCTGTGGCTAGGGACCTCTCCAAAATACTGAAGAGCAACAGTGTCTCTCTGGAGACTAAGGTGCGTCTGATACAGGCCATGGTTTTCGCAATCACTTGTTATGCATCAGAGAGTTGGACAATGACTAGGGAGGATAGAAGGAGAATTGATGCCTTTGAGCTGTGGTACTGGAGAAGAGTATTGAATGTACCATGGACTGCCAAGAAAACAAACAGATTCATCGTAGAGAGGATTAAACCAGGCTGCTCCTTGGAGGCAAGGATTCTGGGGCTTCATCTGACATACTTTGGACATGTTTTAAGGAGAGACAGGTCTTTAGAGAGGGACATCATGCTGGGTAGAGTGGAGGGACAGCGCAGGAGGGGAAGACCATCTATGAGGTGGATTGATTCCGTGACTGGGGTACTTGGGACGGGTTTGTCAGAGGCAATGAGATTGGCACTGGATAGAGCACGGTTTAGGGCTGTTGTACATAGGGTCGCTATGAGTCGCAAACGACTCGACGGCACATAACAACAATGACAATAACATCTATAGTTACAGATATATCTATACATATATAGTTATATATAGATATTTATTTGTAGATGCTTATTTCTAGTCTCTCTATGGTGGAAAAAATAAAGCTCCTGTGACCTAGTGGTAAGAAGCTGCACTGCAATCCCAAAGGCTCGTGGTTCAAATCCACCAGCTTCTCTTTGGGAAGAAAATAGACATGCTCCTTCCATGTGATTTAATGCCTCTGAAAACCTGCTTGAGGGTCATTTATGGGTTGGCTCCAATTCACTGGCATGCAACAACAATAACAATGACAAGATGCACTGACGGTCTACTCCATAGCGAAAAAGATCCTTTGGAATTAAGTTCTGTTCTGCTATAGTCAGAATGAATAGAAGGCAATCTACGAGCATGTGCGAAATCCAGTTGTTTGGGGTTTTTCTCCCTTTAACCCTAAAGCATTATCTTCTGAACCATCTGAATCCTGGTTTCTCACTTTTCCCTGAAGATCCTCCTACTTGCTTCCTGCTGGTGCGAGATTTCAAAGTCTAGGTGGACCTTAGAGATGCTGCAGCTCGGCCCCAGGCGACCGCGATAGCACTGTTATCGCCATTGGGTCAGTCCAATGCCATCATTCCTTTTTCTCTTTGGCTGAGTTGATGTCTGTGCTGTGCTGACACCTACGCAGTGTCCCATAGCACAAGGGGAAAGGTTCAAAGGTAAACAGGTAAAACAGGATGTGTAATGATGACAGCCACCAAGTGAGTATGTGCTGTTAAAAAAGCCTTCCTCAAACCTTTATCTTGTAAATGCAACAGCAAATCACTACATTCATCTGCAGACTACAGTCAAGCCACAGTCTTTATAAGGAGAACAGCCTCCAAAGTGACTGATACAGGATATATGGCTGACCACATAACTTCCAGTCTGAATGTACCCACATCTCATTTGCAGAACAATGAGGGAGAACAAATAAAGCCCCTCTACCCTACCCCAGGCACAGCTTCCCCACAAAACCTCAAAATTGACGGTGTTCTCTTAATGACTGTAAATTAGCTGAGAGCGCTTCACTGCAATTCACAGGGACCCCACTTGTCTGAGTTTTCTACCAGATGACTTTTCTAAAGTAGATCAAAGAGGACTTTCTTCTCAGGAACCTCTGGGAGAACTAGAACCTCTGACCTTTGAGTTAGCAGTTCTTTGTCTTCACAGTTTGCACCAGTCAGGAACTTCCATGACACCTTTGTTAGTGCTATAAACCTGTAAGTTG